CCAGCGCCCTCACTAGTCAACAAGTGAACTAACCGGGCCGTTTCTTGATGCTACTTACGGAGGTGGCTTTCAAAAGTTCTTGCTAACAGGGGTGTCTATATTACCGCCGTGATACCACTAAAGCTTAGACTACTCTATCGCGCTGCCCCTCCTTATACTTATTTACTACCTTCTAGTCTAATAATCTACTAAATATAATACTATATACACTCTATCTAAGCCTAGATTTAGTATTAAGGTAGCTTATCCTAAGCCTTTAACTATACTTTTATACCCTCTACTCTACTTTTAAGAGCGCCCTTCCTAATAGTACGTAGTAAAATACCTATAATAGCACTAATTTAGGTAGTAGATTTACTACTAAAAGGTAACTTTAGAGTTATAATAAGCGTATAGGTATAGGGATTAGTATTAGGAGCTATAGTAGAGTAAAAATACTAAAGGATTAAGTAGATAGACTATTACTACTACTATCTATAGCTTTAAAATTAAGTGTGTATAGGCTAAGAAAGTTAGGCTAATAGATTAGCCGCTAACGAATACGCTAGCAAGAACTTTTGAAAGCCACCTCCGTATTGACGCAAGCCTCCCGCACACCGATCACTGTTGTAGGTAACGTGATCCACCACCAAGCGCCTACCCCCACCAAGCGCCCACTAACACCAAAATCCACCACCTACTAAATAAGGATATTGCGCCACCTATAATAGCTATTATTATAAGATTTCTTAGAGTTATAATTATTAGATCTATTAAAGTAGATTAAATATTTTAGATTATATAAGTAGCTTTTTAGGGGGTCTAATTAGGTACCTACACTATAAAGTTACCTCTACTACTATATTCTCTTCTACTAGCTCTATATTAACTACCTTAGCTAGTATAATAGTAAGAGGCTTAAGGATTTACCTTTTACCTATTTAGGATATTTTAATATTATTTTAGAGTTACTTTTCTAGTTACTTAGTAGTTTTCTACTTATTATATATAGTAGCTTTTTAAGTAGTTTTCTTTTTCTACTTTTTTTTAGTAATTATTTAATTTAAGTAATACTCCTTTATAAGTTAAGCTTTAGTAAGCTTCTATTACTTATAAAGCTTAATTACCTTACTTTTTTAGTATTATAGCTTTTATTCTTTAAGGTTCTTTTACTTCTAAAGCTTAAATACTTACTTTACTTTTAATAGTAAAATAAATTAGGTACTACTACTATAATTATTATTAGAGGGTAATAATAGAGGTTTACTATACTTGCTATACTTCTTCTTATTAGCTAGGGTAGCCTTTAGGTATTTATTTTTATAGTTAAGTAGAGTATTTCTTACTAATATAGTATAGATTATCTAGCTAAGCTTCTTTAACTATTTATTATAGATATTAATTATAGTATTATAAAGTAACTACTCTATCTTTCTCTAATTACTTATACTTAATATTAAGGTTATACTATTACTTAAAGAAGGCTAGTTACTATTATTTATAGGTGCTTTAAACCTTAAAAGGATAATATTAGGGTTAAGTAGTAAAATACCTATTATTTTAAAAGCTATTAATATTAGCTTTTCCTTAAAGATATTACTTTATATAGTATTAAATAACTAGTAGAAATCCCTTTTAGTAATACTTATAAGCCCTTAAGAGCTATCTAGAAAACTAGATAGTTAAGCTTTATATAAAGCTATAAAGGGAGTAAATACTATAATATTAAGTAGCTAAAGGGTATAAGTGCTATAAGGGGGATATATTATAAGTAGGATCTTATATTTATTATAGTACTTAATAAACTCTATTATTATATAAAATCTATAGCTATTAAAGATAAAAAGCTAGTATAAAATATAAGCTTTAGCTTTTATTTTATAATTAAACACCTCTTTAAGCTAGGATATCCCTAGGGTATAGCTTATCTACTTACTTAGTAATCTTATAAAAAAAGCTTAGTATTATAATAGGTTAAAATCTTATAACTAGATATCTTATAAAGCTCTAGATTAGGACTAATAAATAAGGGTAGAGGTAAGAGTAGTACTATTAGTGTATATATAAGCTATAGTAGTAATCTACTCCCTATTACTATCCTAGAGTATAGCTTTAATCTTTCTTTACTTATAAGTACTCTTATTAAATATATATTTAGTTTTTAATAGTACTTTAATAAGAAAACCTTTCTTATCTATATTATAGATATACTAACTCTTAATATTATATTACTTTATTTTTTAGTATAAAAGCTTAAAGTATAAGCTATACTTAAAGGTAGAATTAGCTTTAAAGTAGTTATAATTAAGTCTAGTAGCTTAATAGGAGATAAGATTAATATTATAGTAGTTAATAAAGTGCTATACTTAATTTTTACTTACTAGATTCCCTAATATTTTAGTTATAAAATTTTAAATAATAGTCTATATAAGGGGTAATCCTTACTTATAAAGCCTTTTAATATACTTTATAAGCTTATTTTCTTATATAGTATTAAGTATTTAACTATTTAGTAAAGTAGTAGTATATACCTACTAAATTTTCTAGTAGTATCTAGATAAGGTTAACTATAAGTAATTATACTTTTCTACTATTTCTAAGTATATAAAATCTTCTCTAAGAGTTAAGGATTTAATTGCTATAAGCGCGTTATTAATAGGTGCTATAGTTATTAAGAAATTTAGTGTTAAAAATTTAGTGATTTTAGTGTTAGTGGGCGCTTAGTGGGGGTGGGCGCTTGGTGGTGGATCACGTTACAGTACAGGTATGATAAGACTGCGTTCACGCAGGTCCTTTTACCGCTTAAACACCATTGGTATGGTAAACGCGAGCGTACCCTTTCTGCAGAATACTCCTTGCTTGATATTAAAGAGGGTGTTATATAAGCCATGTCTGATCGGCTAGATTGACGGCGGACTCGGTATCACGGTATCTTTTCGGTTCGGATGTTCAGCCCTGTTTTAATTACAGGATGCAGACGTCGGGGTAGACTTTGTTGATGAATGCTGGACCCAAGACTGCTTTGGTGTGGCGAGGCTGAGGATAGCTTGGCGGTGGCGCATGGCCGTGTGGCGCGCGCGGCTACGAGCGGAACATTTTCTTTGACGGCCAAGTTTGCAATTATTATCAACCACTGATCACAACATTTGCTTTCTCTGACTCTCGGCCTGATCTTGTCGTCTCCAACTTAACTCCTATCCTACCCCGCCATAATCATTACCTCGCGTCCTCATACACTAGAACACAGCGGCTAGGTCTGTACCGGTATTATATACAACCCCACCATGTCCACCAAGACGCGCCCCGCCATGCCACCCGTGGTCATGGACAGCATAACGCAGCAAATAGGCAACACGCCCCTCGTCCGCCTAAATAAGATCCCGCAATCTCTGGGGATCCGTGCAACTGTCTTTGTCAAGGTCGAAGCCTTCAACGCCGGTGGCAGTGTCAAGGACCGCATTGCCCTGCGCATGATTGAAGAGGCGGAAAGGAGCGGGCGCATAAAGCCCGGAGATACCCTCATCGAGCCCACATCCGGTAACACGGGGATTGGGCTTGCGCTCGTGGGTGCGGTCAAGGGCTACAGGACCATCATCACGCTGCCGGAGAAGATGAGCCCGGAAAAGGTTGCGGTGTTGAAGGCGCTGGGCGCCGAGATTATCCGGACGCCGACGAGTGCGGCATGGGATAGTCCGGAGAGCCATATTGGAGTGGCGAGGAGATTGGTCAAGGAACTGCCGAATGCGCATATTCTGGATCAATACTCGAATCCTGATAACCCGCTTGCGCATGAGTGTGGTACTGCCGAGGAGGTGTGGACACAGACGGATGGCAAAGTCACGGTGCTTGTAGCTGGTGCGGGAACTGGTGGCACAATTACCGGTCTTGCAAGAGGTTTGAGGAAACACAAGGGGGATGTCAAGATCATTGCGGCAGATCCACATGGTAGTATTCTTGCGCTACCGTCCTCGCTGAACGATGAGCGTGTGAATGAGGGGTACAAGATCGAGGGCATTGGCTATGATTTCATCCCAGACGTACTGGATCAGAAGATTGTGGACAAATGGTATAAGACGGATGATCGCACATCGTTCATGTATGCTCGACGCCTTATCTCAGAAGAAGGCATCCTCTGCGGTGGATCCTCGGGTAGCGCCATGGCTGCAGCCGTGGAAGCCTCAAAAGACCTCAATCTCACCGAAGACGACGTAATGGTCGTCATTCTACCAGATAGCATCCGCAGCTATCTCAGCAAGGTACTTTGTCCCGCTTCCCCCTGTACCTTTTTTGCGAAATGTATCCGCTAACGCACCACCATAGTTTGTGGACGATGACTGGCTTGCAGCAAATGATCTCCTTCCCCCAACCCCCCCCTCCACAAACGGCACGAACACCCCTTCCGCCCAACAACCCACTCACCGCCGCCTCTCGAGCACCTCTAAGAAAGACCCCTTCAACGGCGCCACCATCGCCTCCCTGCGCCTCAAACCCGTCACCACCATCCCCGCCAACTCCCCCTGCAGCGAAGCCATTGAAACCATGCGGGAAAAGGGCTTTGATCAACTCCCTGTCAGCGTCTACTCCTCCTCTTCCGGAAAAGCGCGTCTCGTCGGACTCGTCACCCTCGGCAACCTCCTCAGCTACATTGCGCGCGGTCGCGCAACGCCCAAGTCCCCCGTCGAAGACGTCATGTTTGATTTCCGCAAGCTGCCTGAAGTCGTCAAGGATCTGGGTCGTTTATCGCTCGATGATGGCAAGGGCCACCATGACGGCAAGAAACAGGCACATGGCAAGAGTGCCGCCGTACGCAGAGAATTTGTAGAGATTACGCGCGATACGAAACTCAGCGATTTGAACAAGTTCTTTGAATGGAATAGTGCGGCGGTTGTGACCGAGAGGGTGGATGGGGAGATGAGGGCGCAGGCTGTGGTTACTAAGGTTGATTTGCTGACTTGGATGGTTAGGATGCAGAATGGAGGGTCGTAGACCGGAGAAGGTGTGGAGAGATGGGGGATCAACTAACTGAATCGGACGTATGAACGAAAGTTACGAGGATGAGGACCGGACCAGAATAGCGGAGACTTCAACCGTCTTTGATGCAACGAAGATAATGCACATGATTTCAACGTCAAAAACAGTAATGTCTGACTATTATCCTGATAATGATGCCATCTCGCCATCCCTTCAAGTCTATCACTCCCATATCCCACTGATCAGTCGAGGAAGAAACACGTGTGTTTAATTCCAACATCCTTTTTTGTTTTTCTTCTTCTTCCAAATATGCACACTTCTTCGCTCTCTCCCTATTCCCTGCAAATCCATTCCCCACCTTGGATCAGTATCTATGTCACCTACTTGGGCCGACCTAGCTACGCACATGTCTGAAAACCATATAATTCATCCTTTTCTTCCTTCCTCCACTCACATACCCACGCAACATAAGACATAGGCGCAAGCGAAACATGTCCCTCTCTCGTCTTGCTTGTTAAGAAAGTCGAGGAACAACTCAGGATGTCATTGGGTGTAGCTTCAAAATCACAGCCCAAATTCGCGATGGCTGTGGTGCGGTGTTGGTGAATGGATGAATGGCAGAGTTTATGTCTGAATGGGGACAGTGCGATACACAGCAGCTTCCAGCGTTATGAAAATCGATAGGTCTCTATGTGATGTTCGGCACCGCTTTGGAGGGTTTATGGCGCATGGAGTGGAGGCAAGCACGTCAGATAGCACATGGATAAAGCAGTTCACAAAAGAGGTCGCCGCGTTCGCACCAGTCTTTTCGAAGCATTGACACGGCAAACCAAATTACAAGAGCCCAGCCACGGTGACAGCGCTTGGCCCTACGGGAGACGCACCAGGCTTCTCAGACGCCTTTTTTGGACGACGTCATCACGTCCGAGGTCATGAGCGATGAAAGTGTGTTACTACCCATATGTCTGGCTGAAGTCATCGGTCCTTATAGTATTGTATATGATACAAGACATGGGTACATCTATGACCACGTTTGAGAACCATCGAGAATACCAAATTCCTCTCATGAGTCTGCTGACAAGCGTAGCAGCCCTCTCCTGTCGAAATTCACGCTATGGTAGTATGATATTGATACTAAGGGCGCTGCGATTATCCAAAGTCAGGATGAGCGTGAGCATCGTGGTATAAAATCGTCCTTCTGCGGCCTGGGATGTTTTCTTCGAATCATAGCATATGTGATTCGAAATCCCTTGAGAAAAATGAACATGCTGATGTATGACAAAATCTGCGCTGTCTGGAGGCATGTGAATTCAATTCCACTACGCGATTGTAAATCATCTGAAAGAGGGAAGGGTGCGGAGTGGAAAAGTGCCTATCACACCTGTATGTGCGTCTGGGTTGGTTGGGTATAAGAATACCCCACAAGACGCTGTTCTTCGCTTGTCTTCCTTCATATGTCCTACAGAAGGAGTGAACATTTTCAAAACACGATGGAAATGCTATTTGATTTGCGCGCTCACAAGTTGAACACATGCCCCACATGATCAACCAAAGCACAAGATTTGCAGTATGTAACGCATCAAAGAAGACTGCAATTGTGGCGAAAATTCGCTGTTTTCCAAGTGACAGCTGACAGTTAAGAATCAGTACTGCCGGGGCTCAAAACCGCGCCCACAGCTACTCCAAGATCCTTTGTGTGTCGTTTTCTACGATGGTGTTGAGGACGTCCTGAGACGCTTCTTGAGTCATTGCCAGGGCTTTGCTGAGGTACAGCGTCATTCATAGGTTTTGTTCATGTTCCTTTTGCTCTGCATATTTCTTCTTTATTTTAATTCTTATACCAACTTCTGTGTGATATTGACAGAGAGCCATTCCACCGACGAGAAAGAATAATTATATACCTCTGTTTTACAGTCTAAGACGCCACACAGTTGCGGCATTTGTGTCTTTTCGCTCAGCCGGAATCGCATGTTGTACTTGGTGCCTTTTTTTTTGGAGAACCATTATGGCTCAAATACAGCACTTGTTAGAATGTAGCACCAGAGCATATCGTCGCTGACCATGAAGCACTTCTGCACAGATTTCCCACATGACCATTTCATATGATCCTCTCGAATGGCAGGGGATATTGCGATTTGGTTTGAGGAGGTAGACTTGACAGTAAGAAGGACTGCTATATAAGTACCAGCTAGCACTCAACCCCAAAGTCCCGGTTCCAGAGCAAGACATGAGAAGCCAATAAACCTTTTCGGACTTTTCATCCAAAGGATACTCATGTATTCCTAAACTCAACCCATTTCATTTAAGTTCTGCGCATTTGTATCCGGCGTAGTATTTTATTTGTGATACTGCGGTCCCGTCCGCAAAGACAGGACGTATAAACCCTCTACCCTCTCATTATCGATTTGAAATGGCCTCACCGCTTCCTGGGAATATATGAAGGAAGGAAAGCCAAGTACAATAACCTGCTGGATGTTCTTATACCTGTCGACACATGACAAAGCTATGACCCCGAATTAAGTATCTTTCATCATCCTTACGTACTCCTGTGTCAATTGAATCCAATAGACGAGCTAGCAGCAATGAAGCGCGAAAGGTGTAGTAGGGAGATTTGATCATTTTGCACCATGCAACCCTCGAGCACGATTCACCAATCGTAACGACTCTTTGCTCTGAAGATCTGCTACCCACAAAATTAATGTTTCATGCACCTGCCAATGTGAAAATTCGTCCCAAACCGCTCCTGAGATGGAGGAGCATATCGTGACCATGGGGCCGACGCAGCTGGAAATCGGAGACATGAGAACTTTGAATAGGGCTCTTGATCTGTAATTTTGTATAATCAAAGGGGGTATGACTCAAGCTCTAAATTCTTATCATTTTAACCCACAGTCCACCAAGCCAAGTTTAGAAAGCGGAAAAGTTTTTTCAAAAGAAACACAGGCAAGAACTGATGTTTTTGGTGCTGCGAGCCTGAATATGTAAGTCTCAGAGCGTGTAGGGATATCTCAGTGATTTCAGAAGCACATTCGCATGTGCGTGAATCCGTACCTGACGTACAGATTAGAAATATGCATATATGATATCCTTGGATTAAAACCCATACACACAAGCAGTCCTCGCCATCACCCAACCCACAATCTCTCTCCCATATTCTGGCAGGAATTGCAGAGTCTTCAAACTAGTCACGCTCTATAATAGTAGATTTAAAAATTAAGATGCAACTTTGCTTGCCTGCTAGTCACGATAGCAGTGCTGCAGACGAATTGTGATGTTGTGGGCGTGAATACTGCGCTGAATCCCCCAAACATACGGGGTATTACTGTGGATAACTTGACAAGAGGCCCAAAAAGCGATATACACATGTATGTTTAGTAATGCTGCTACAAATAAACAAACAAAACCGTCGCATCCATGTGGAACAAGCGCTGCAAACACATACTCCAGGTTACATATAAAAGTATCCAACCCTCCCCACCGCTGCTGAAGAACACAATTTCCTTCTCGCAACGTGGAGTTCAAATTGCATCAAAAGTACACAGTTAGATCACATGGTTCTGCTGCGCTTCTGATGTTGAGAATTCAGTTTGTGAATGCACACGAAGTGCATCCAGTGAAAGGAGCACCCTCTCAGTCTCAGGTCATGACTTCCGCTTTGCCTGTTACATACGATATTGTTGACATGCCACGGGTGTCGAAAGTAAGCTGATTTTGATGGCTTTTTGTCTTTCTGACTTCTAGGGAAGGGAAGCAAAGGGCGAGGTTTCAAATCCAGTGATGAGGAAATCGATGTGTTTGCTTCTTCTCTCTGCTGCGCCCAGTTTATGACTGGTGCTTGAAGTAGTTAGTGGTGCTGCAGTTTCGAAGTCGTGTACGCTGGATGAGGATGATGTATGATTAGTCGATGTGATGTTTGAGAGAAACCGCGGCGCAAAGTTTTAATGTGTTCGAGCTCCTGGGCGGTTCAGTTGGTGACTGCTAATGTGGTTTGGCTATCATCTCCAGACTACTTTCGACACGATCTCATCATGGAAAGGTAATTTGCATCTGAAATGAGCATGACGTGCAATCCACTGTTCCTAAAACGGATCATAGAATTGTTCATGTTCCTT